TGCCCAATAGATTAATTGTTGTTCAGTAAAAGAGCAGACTGGTGCCCTGGCCGGTTTGGCTCAGTGGTTGGAGCATCGGCCTGTGGACCAGAGTGTCCCGGGTTTGGTTCCCGCTAAGGGGCACGTACAAAAAAAAAGAGCAGGCTGGCGTCATGGACATAGCACAGACATTGGCCTGGTGACCTTCCCATGCTGGCTGCCAGAGGCGGACTTGAGAGTAGTCCTGCTTTCAAACCAACACCCTGGGCTCGGGTGGAACACGTCTAATTCAAGTGCTGTTTTGTGATCGTGATTCTTTGGAATATCAGCAAGGGCTATTTATTGTTGTAGCCTAGATGAAGTCCAGAGTGCCCTCCAGAACAAAGAGACGGCCTGCCTGAGAATGACCAAGGAAGTCGAACGAACCAGAACTTTGGAGTCTAAAGCATTCCAAGAAAAGGAACAACTGAGATCAAAGCTGGAAGAATTATATGAAGAGAGAGAGAGGACATTCCAGGTGCATTTGTGTGTGTATTTTGTCCTGTACTTGGGCCGTGTGACTCAGTAGAGCCCATAAGAGTAAGACTGTCCGGGTGTCCCTGGTTCAGACCCGCTGGAGCACATGCACAGCTGTGTCTCTCTCCCTGCGTTCGCGGAAGGCAGGAAATCCCATTCCTTCCTAAAAATGAAGAGCAGCTCATGTTCTCCTCCCTGGGTTGATTACCTGCAGGAGATGGAAGTGTTGAGGAAGCAGGTGGAGTGTCTCGCTGAGGAAAATGGCAAGTTGCTAGGTCACCAAAACCCAAACCAGAAGATTCACTACGTGGTGCGGCTGCGGAGGGAGAACGTCCGGCTCGCCGAGGTAAACTGGAAACTGTTCTGGAGACACTCACCCTGTTTCTAAATGATTCTTTAATTAAAAATTAATTTAATTGTTGAATCACTTAACTGCTTCGTTAGGGAACTTCCTGAATTCAAAACAACTTAGTCATTGCTATTCTAAGGATAATTCACTTTTCATATGCATCACATTTCTGATAATGTTAAGTAGTTTACAAATTTAAAAACTAGTTTTAATTTGAAATATAAAGTTAATGAATGTCAAGAATAACTCTTCCTGTAAGAATTAGAGCCTTACTTTCTTTTCTTTTCCTTTTTTAAAAAATTACTTACCAGGAGACAGAAAAGTTACGTGCTGAAAATATATTTTTAAAAGAAATGAAAAAGAGTTTCTGATGACCATTCTGCACCTGTGCACATCGGTGGCAGTCAGCAATCTGCTGTGCACAGGACACCACCCATTGCGAGGCTGTAAGTCAACTGAATACTGGGGAAACGCTTAGCCTTTAACCAATAAAAGCCTGTAGTTGATGTGTAGGGCGGACGCCGGCCATGTCCTTGTTTTCCTTCGATACTGACCTGATCCCCCACGTCTTAGAGCAGAAGCCCCACAGTAGTCAGTGGCCCTAAAACTTGCCGTGAGGTCATGGCTGATGGTGCAGCATGTATAAAAAGCAAACTTTTTAATAGAGATTATTTTTGTATTCTTACTTGAAGTATTCTGATGAGCATTTTTATGACTGTAAACGTGGCCATTTTTCAAAATGTAATAAATCTTTTTCAAATAAACAGTCCAATAAAGTGATTCACATGGTTCATTCACTTGTGCAACATACACTTAATGAACACGTACTGTATGCCGGGCACTGGTCATCTGTGAACCACGCAAAATGCCCTGCCTTCAAGGGACTTCTGTGCATTAGCTCGTCGTGCCTTTTTTTTTTTTTTTTTATCCTCATTCGAGGACATTTTTCCATTTTTTGTACAGACAGAGTGGGAGGGAGAGAGAGGAAGAGAGAGATAGAGAGAAACATCGATGTGAAAGGGACACATTGAGTGGCTGCCATCCGCACGACCAACCAGGGCCGGGGACAAACTGCAACCGAGGTACGTGCCCTTAGCGGGAACCGAACCCGGGTCTCTCCGGACCGCAGGTGGACGCTCTAACCGCTGAGCCAAACCGGCCAGGGCTCGTTGTGCCTTTTGATCGCAAGTAATATTCTATTGCGTGGGCGTGCCACATTTTACTCACTCACCACGTGATGGACACTGAACTGTGTGCCGTTTGGGACTGTGATTAATACTATTGCTACAAATATTCAAGTGTACGTCTTGGTGTAGACATGTGTCTTACCTCTTGAGTAGAAACCCAGGAGTGGGATTGCTGGGTCACGTGGTTAACATGTGTTCAACCTTTTTTTTTTAAATGATGGAATCAAGAAAGATCTAAAAGTGCAGCTTCTGGAAGAACCATTTGTTCTTGCCGGTCTTGTACCTCTCTTCGAACTTGACCTTGGCCTCCCGTCTGGCTTTGCGTTTCAGAGCAGGGTCTCTAAAGATGTCCTTGTTGATGACAGTTTTGTCCACGGGGATACCTTCTGGGCATGAGGTGATTGTAGTTATAAACTTTCACAAAAGACTTGATCTTTGACCTCTTGGCAATTTTCTTCTTGTCCATGGCAGCTGTCACTTTGCAGGGGTAGCAGTCAATTCCAGCCACCAGCGCATGGCTGTAGGAGCGGTCTGAGGTGCCATCATCAGTGTTCTTGACGATGACCGCTTTGCGTCCAGAGTAGCATCCGGCCAGGACCAGCACCACCTTCCCGGGTTTCATAAACTTGCCCATTTCTATGGTAGCCACCCGGGCCTAGACCAGAAGGCAACATGTGTTTAACTTTTTAAGACATTGCCTGCTTTCCAAATGTTCTCACCAGCGGATTGCTCCAGTTTCTCCACATCTACACCAGTACTTGTTATTTGGGTTTTTTACTATTACCATCCTAATGGTTGTGTACTGGTATACCACTTACAGTTTCCTAATAACTTATGATATTGAACACTTTTACATATTATGGAAATACAACTCAACAATAAAAAAAATAGACTGATACATGCTACAATATGGATAAACCTAAAAAAAGTGCTAAGTGAAAAGCCAGACTTAAAAGACCACAGTCAGGCCCTGGCTGGTGTGCATGTGGGAGGCAACCGATGGATGTATCGCTCACATTGATGTCTCTTCCAGCCGCCCCCTCCACTCTCAAAATCAGTGGAAAAAATGTCCTCTGGTGAGAATTAACAAAAGAAGAGAGACCACAGTCTGTACTGATTCCATATAAGTGAAATGTCCAGAAAAGGCAAAATACTAGAAATAGAAAGAATTGCTGGTTGCTGGGCTGGGCTGGGAGTAGAAATGACCATATGGGCACAAGGGAATTTTTTGATGTGGAAATGTTTTAAAACTGGTTTGTGGTGGTGGTTGCACAACTCTATACATTTTCTAAAAATTAAACTACATTAAAAATGCATTAATTTCTGCCCTGGCTGATTTCTCAATGTTTAGAGTGTTGAACCATGGACCAGAGGGTTGTAGGTTTGATTCCCGGTCAAGGGCATGTACCTGGGTTGCAAATTTCATCCCCAACCTTGGTTGGAGTTGTGCGGGAGGCAACCAGTTGATGTGTCTCACATCAGTGTTTCTTTCTCTCTCCCTTCTATCCTACTGTATCTAAAAATCAGTGGAAAAATATCCTCGACCCGGCTGGTGTCGTTCAGTGGTTGAGCTTCAACCCATGTACCAAGAAGTCATGGGTTCAATTCCTGGTCAAGGACACAGGCCCAGGTTGTGGGCCAAATCCCCATTGAGGGTCATGCAGGAGGCAGTGTATCCATGTTCTTTCATCCATGTTTCTGTCTCTCTCTCTCCCTTCATCTTTCTCTAAAGTCAAGAAAGACAAGAGAAATATCCTCAGGTACGGATTCACCCTAAAAAGAAGGAGGGAAGGGGAGGGATTAATTTCTTTCCTGCTTGAAGCCAAGAACCCACAGTGGGTCTTGGACCTTCATTCAGGTCCCGGAATGCCTGCATCAGCATAGTGCCTCTCTGAGCTTCAGTTTCCTTAACTGCAAAATGGGACAGGTTGTACCACACAGGAGTTACCAGGTTTATCCATACCTTTATCTGAGCCACAAAACCACCCTGTCAGAGATGGTGGCAAGGAGGGACTTCCACAAAAACTTCACATGGATAAAATTTTAAAAAAGAATACTGAACAGTATGTTCTCTGTGAATCATGTTTTTTAAAAGTCATATATATATGTTTATATATATATAAAAGTTTATATATATAAACTTTTAAAACGTATGCTACATGTAAAACTACATATGCATAGAAAAAGTATTCTATAATCATGATTTTCCTGAAGAGTGGACATAGCCCTTCAAACATTTTCAAAAGCACTTTTTTTCCAAAGAAATATACTGCTTCTTACACGAAAACCTTTTAAACGTCTTTAAGTGCACAGGAAATCAGGAGTAACATTACTCCCGATTATCTTGATCATCCGAGTGGAGTGGTTATGAATGCCATCTTTTCTAACTTCCTGCAGTGAGCGGGTGTCTTCCTGGGCCTTTTGCTGGACCTGGAGCCCTCACGGGGGCCGCCTTCTTGCTGAGTCTGGAGGTCTCCAGCGCCCTCTGCCGAAGCATCTCCATTTGGCACTTTTCAATTTGGAAGGTGCAGGTGAATCCCCTGGGCGTCCTGTCAAATGCAATTTTGATTCAATGAGCGTGGGTGGGGCCTGGGGTTCGGCATTTTTATCATGCCAGGGGAAGCCATGCGCGACGCGCCAAGTGGCAAGGACTGAAACTGCTGGGCTGCGAATTCTACCACGGCAACCACGGTCCTGAGTCCCGGCCTCAGACTCCGGCCGGCCGCTCCCGAGCAACCTAACGTAACGCGGAGGCGCCCCGTCGCCGGAGGCCGCAGGGGGCTGGACCGCTGGGGCCCCGCCCCGCCCCACTTTGCCCCGCCCCGCCCCACTTTGCCCCGCCCCTGGCGGCTCGGCCGGGGCCTCGCGGGACCCGACTCGGCCTGCCCGCTCACGTGAGAACGGCGTCACGTGACTCACCGTCCAATCGCGGCGCGCGCTGGGCCTCGGGGGCCGGCGCGGCGGGCGCCATGGCCGCGGGCACCGTGCCCGCCCACCCTGACTCTCCCGCGGGGTTGCCCCCGCACCTCCTGGCCGGCGCGATGCGGCGCCGCTTCTGGGGCGTGTTCAACTGCCTGTGTGCCGGCGCCTTCGGGTCCCTGGCCGCCGCCTCCGCCAAGCTGGCCTTCGGCAGCGAGGTCGAGCCCGGGAGCTGCCGCGGCGGGCGGGCGGGCGGAGGGGCGCTGCGGGGTCCGGGCGGGGCGGGCTGGGGTGCAGGGCGCCGTCTCGTTTGGTCGGGGCCCCGGGGCAGAGCACCCCTCGACTCCACCACGTTTAGCGCCCGGTCTAGGCGGGAGAGTTGTCGGGGACTCAAGTCCGCCTCCATCGGGCCAGTTCGCGCCCGGGGCGGACGCACACCTACACCTCCTCTCCCCCTCTCGCCGTAAGCCCTTTGTCCCTGAACATGTCTCCCGCGTGACTCAAGGTGAGAAGCCTGTGGCCCATCCCGCTACTCCGTGAGTAACAGGTGTTTTGACCGGTCGGCCCTGCTGCCAGAACGCTTTGGAGTCTAAGAAACGTTCTGGACATTCCCCTGATGTCGAGAACTTTAAACTGCCTCTCTGCGTCTGCTGATGTGTGTCCTGCCTCGCCCATCCCGAGCTGGACAGCGGACAGTCTGAGTCTTTAGATTTAAGCCTATTTAGGGTTAATAGAGTGGGAGCTCCATGCTTGAGGTTAGTGTCCTGTTGGGTGTAACTCTTGGAGTAAATGGTCCAAAATAAGATGAGTGACTCTATGAGACATAAGGTTTTCTGGTGTTTTCAGTGGTACACCAGGCCTCCACCACCTTTTATATGGGCAGGCTGCCCCTGGCACATACAGTGCTTTTGTGTAAATTATACAAAGATGCCCCTTCCTCAAGACACTGTATTCAGCTGCTGGAAAACTGTTAGGAGAAATGGGCACAACTCCCCCAGAAGCAGCACTGTCTGCAGGTGGGTTGCTGCCTCCAAACCAAGCAAGGGGATTTACATATCCTTAGTGCAGAAGGCATCAAAAGATTCCCTCCTCTCTGTTGCCTTTAAGACAAAAATAGAGACAAGAGACTGCAAGTTCTTCAGGTGATGTCCAGTATCACCAGTCAAATAGTCTCGGGTGGTTTTCCCTGCGCAGGACTGTGTCCTGGTTAAGAACGTGGAGCCAGACAACTGGGCAAGTTACTTAATGCCTCGGGTTGTTTATCTGTAAAATGAAGTAAAGGACTAAATGAGAATGCACTTAAAATACTTAGCACAGGGCCTGGCACAGTAAAAGCTCAAGAATGCCCCGTGGGACCAACCTGAGTGGGATGTAGCCTGCACAGAATGGGAGAGACGTGGCTCATTCATGCTTTACCTGATCCCGGCAGTGAGGACTCTGCCCCTGGTGCACTTGTACCACAGACCACATAAAAACTACGTGGCCCTTGAGAACTGAACTTTCAGCTCTGGTCACTGGTGCTCAGTAGAAAATACTGGTCATGGGTTAGCATCTTTCTTTTGCCCCAGGTCTCATGGCCAGTAAGATGGTCAAATGAGTGTCATCTCTGAGTTTGTTTCCACTGTAAAACGGATGTGCTGCCCACTGAGGGCTACGTGAAGTCCTGGCAGGAAAGCTCAGGATCCCCGGGGCTGGGGGGTGTCTCAGGAGGGGCCTGGCTGCCGGGAACTACGGCCCCAGGTGCACTTGGAGGGGCGCTGCTGGGCGCACGTCTGGGCTGGGCATGACTGCAGTGGTGCCTTCTCCTGCAGGTGAACATAGGCTTCTGCATCTTGGGCGTCATCACGATGGCAACCACCAATTCTCTGATGTGGACGTTCTTTAGCCGGGGCCTCAGCTTCTCCATGTCTTCAGCCATTGCATCTGTCACAGTGACTTTTTCAAATATCCTCAGCTCGGTGAGTAGCCTAAGTATGGTTCCTCTGTCCCAAACTTGGGTTCTGGGTGGGTTATCCTTGGGCAGCCCCTGCTTTCCAGATAGGAGAAAGGTCAGGAACTGAAGCAGAGGTTGGGCTTGGCTTGACCCCTGATGGCTGTTCCTCTCATCACTCAAACTGAGGACTTCTCAAGTTCACGGGGAATGATGAAGTCCAATGGCAAAGCCAACCGCTTGCTGTTCGTGCCAGCCGCGGCCCTCGTTCTGGTCTCTGCACAGCCCTCTGTCTCCTAGGGGCCTGTACCCGCCGGCACGGGATACGAGGGCCTAGGTTCCTCCCTCTGGTGGCCTGAGGTCGGCCAGATGGGCTGAGCTCAGTCAGTCCTGCAGTCAAGGAAGGGAGGACATGATAGGGCAGCTCAGGTCAGCAGACACAGAGACCAGCTGCACGCTGGCCTGGCTGCGGCCTTTGCTGGTCCTGTGCACTTTGCTGGGGTCCGATGCTGAGGAAAGCACCCCCCCCCCCACCTCTGCAGGTGAGACCAAAATGAGTAGCTAGAGTGACTTGACAGCAGGGTTTCAAGCCCAGACTTGTGGCCCGGACCATTCCTCCTGCCCTGGGAGGGCCGTCAGCCGCAGGGGAGTAGGTTGTGCCCGGCTGCTGCGTCCAGACCCTGCAGGCTCGGGCCTCACCGCTGTCTGTCCTGCAGGCCTTCCTGGGGTTTGTGCTGTATGGAGAGTGCCAGGAGGTGTTGTGGTGGGGAGGGGTGTTCCTCATCCTCTGCGGACTCGTCCTGACCCACGGGAGGGCCCTTCCACACAAGCAGCAGTAGCATCGGTTGGCCAGGTGGACCAGCTGGAAAGACAACGGTGGCAGCTGAGGCTCGGCTGGCGTGTGCGGACTACTTCCCAGGGTGATCTGGGGTGCAGCTTCCGACTGTCGACCACAGGAGATGCTGCCAAGGGCTTCTGCCCGAGCAGCCTTGCGGGTGGCCGCTCCGGCTTCTGTCGGGAACCGCAGCGCGGCAGGGTTCTGCCTGAAGCAACCTGAGCCATCTGCACAGTGTTCTTCATTCTCCCTGCTGGCCCAGCGGGGGCCTTGGCAGGAGCCAGAGCCCCTGGGGCTGGCGGCCTCAGGTGCGGACTTGGCCCACGCTGTAATCGTAGCCCTGTGGCCTAACGGGCCAGTCACGTAAACGGCGTAGGTGGGCTGACGCTTCCTGCTGCGGTATCGGGCCACGCCGTGCTTCTGTGTTACGGCAAGAGAAGGAAGACTGGATCAATCCTTTTTTATGGGTAAAACTACCAGGTGTGGAATCCTAATTTGTCCCTACATTTCTTTCTCTTTCCTAACTTTCTGGAGTCCGAGGGAGCAGCCCGGGTGAGCTGCGGATCCTGAGTGGAGTTGATACCCGCCCCTTGCCAAGCCCAGCGCAGGGTTCCTTCCTGAGCTCCCCCAGGCTGACGCTCTTCAGATTCAGGAGGGTCTGTCCGTTCTCTTGGTACTCACCCAGAAAAGCCTGACCTCACTTTGGGGACCTAGTTTTATTTTACTTGCTAGGGAAAAAGCTGGCCTAACCCTAGCCAGTTTGACTCAGCAGTTAGAGCATCGGCCTGCGGTCCAGAGAGACCCGGGTTCTGTTCCCACTAAGGGCATGTATCTCGGGTTGAAGTTTGTCCCCGGCCCTGGTTGGGTGGCAGCCACTCGATGTATCTCTTTCACATCGATGTGTCTCTCTCTTCCTCTCTCTCCCTCCCACTCTATCTGAACAAAGAAACAAACAAAAAAAGCAGCCCTGGCCAGTTTGGCTCAGCGGTTGGAGTGTCGGCCTGCGGACCAGAGAGTCCCGGGTTTGGTCCCTGCTAGGGTCACATACCAACAAAAAGAAAGAAACAAGCTGGCCCAGAGGTTGCTCTCATCCCCACAGAGGGGCCCTCTGTCCTTTGGTCGTCGTCCCAGGTCTCTCTGGCGGGTGTCTTGCACCATGAGAATGGAGCTCCTCGCTCAGTGTCTGTGCTGCCCCCACACCCGCGCACACCTTTCAGTGACGCCCACCTGCTGCAGCTCCCAGGGCTCCCCAGTGTCTGGCCCCGACTGTTGGCCCCAAGGCCTTCCAGCCTTCCCTGCGAGAGAAAGGGACTTGGGGCCAGTCGGCCGGCGGAGGGAGGGTCACAGCCAGGCCTGTCCCTCCTCATTGCCCTCCTGCCTCCTTGCCCAGCTGGCAGGTGGGCCTCCCGGTCTTCCTGGCTCCTGCTGCCTGAGGTCTGGCCCTGCCCACCTCTCCCCAGCTTCTCTCCTGCGGCCTCCTTAACACTCCCAGGAGGGGGCCCGGGCGCCCCAGTGCAGAAGTCAGGGAGTGGGGGGAAGCAGCGGTGACGTAGGGTAACCAGGCACGTGGTATCCTAGGAGCATCTTTAGAAGGCAGTGACCACCCAGCCGATGCCCAGGGTCCGTGAGGGAAGAGGCAGAAGCGGCCACTGGACTAGGAAAGAACTTCGGCAAGAGCAGCTCTGAGGGGCGGGGGCAGGGGCCTGAGAGGTCAGACTCATGAGGGAAGTGGGTCACCTCCATTGATGCGGGAAGAATTCAACACCCTTCCACGGTGAAAACACCCAACAGACTAGGAATAGAAGGAAACTGTTGATGTGATAAAGGCCGTATGTGAAAACGCACAGCGAGCATCATTCCCGGTGTGAAAGGCTAGAGGCTCCCCCTAAAAGAGCAAAGCAGGGCTGCCCGCTCTGCCCGCGTCTGCTCAGCACCGCGCTCTGCTCCGTGGCCCTGGTGTGCAGGCGGGGCAGAGGCGGGAAAGGAGGAGGTGACTTCCTGTGCGAAGGTGACATGATCTTACATGTAGGAAACTAGCTTTCAGGAGGTGGCTGCCCCTTTTCAGAAGCCTCAGGCAGGACGGGGGAAGGAGACCCCGCATGCAGCAGCCCCCTCCCTTCAGAGGGTCCTGTCGTCATCCTGGGAGGAGGTGTCTGAGCCTCCTGCAGCCTGCCGTGTTCTGCCCTGAGACTGGGTCAGATGATCAATATGTTGTTTTTAATCCTCACCTGAGGATATTTTTTCCATTGATTTTTAGAGAGGGGGGCGGACATTGACGTGAGAGAGACACATCAGTCAGTTGCCTCCCGCACATGCCCTGACGGGTGGGGATCAAACCTGCGACCCTCTGGTGGGTGGGCTGACACTCGAACCACCGAGCCACACCGTCCAGGGCTGCTTCAAGATGGCCGGTCCCCTGGGTCATTGTTTTCTTTCAGCAAATGAGCTTCTTAGCATCTTATGCTGGGTCAGGTGGGCACTTGGAGAGCCATCGAATCCTCCGAACTTCCCAGGTCCAGGGGCTCCCCCTCCAAGGGGTTGAGGGGTCAGGCTTCTTTATTTGGGACCCTGTTCAGGACACCTAGCCCTTCCCCAAAGGCTGGATCCCCCCTGTACCCCTGGCGGAGGCAGCTCTGTGGGTTGGATGAAGGTGGTTCTGTGTGTAATTCACATGACATTCAGGGCGGTGGGCTGGGCTCTAAATGAAAAAGCCTTCGATCCTGGTGCTGCCCCAGTGCCCACCCTCCACCATACAGGTTCTCAGTAAATGCCCACTGCAGACACCACCAGGAGATGACCCAGAGGGCAGGGTTTGGCTAGTGACTCCTCCCATGCAGCTGGCGCCTGTGTGACATTTGTCTGCCACACGGGAAATGGTAGAGACATGGAGGAAGGAGGCTGCAAGGTGACCATGAGGAAGGACGCCCAGGGGTCTGGGTTGGGGTCTCCTGCTGAAGGTGGGAGACTAGCCACCGAGGTTGGGCAAAGAGCTGTTTATTTAGAGAAAAGCAGAGTTCGTGCGGCCCCCTCCCAGGAGGCCCCTCCCGGTTTGGACATCAGCTGCGATGCTTTGTCTGAGGCCACACAGGATGTTACGCTGTTGACAGCGACCACGGGGAGAAGGCCGTGTCGCTGGTGTGCCGACAGGAGGCTCAGGATGAACGGGGTCTGCTGTGGGGGGCCTGGCGTGGAGGTGGGCCCAGCGAGGACAGAGGGGCGGGGCTGACTGCAGGGGCTTTGGGGCTGCTGGGAGCTCTGCCCGCAGGCCCGCTGGCCCCGAGGGGCACTTCCGGCCCCTGGCGCAGGGACGTGTCTCGGCCCTGGGGCTTAGCACACACCTCTGACCTCAGCAAGCCCTTGTCCCTTATTCTAAACTCGAGCCCTGTGCGCCTGCCTGGTGTGGAGTCTTTGGTACACAGTCCACCACGCTGCCCCCTGGGCTGCCTCCACGGTCAGAGGAAGCTCTGCCGACGTGGGGAGCCGCTGCACCCTGCCCTGCAGCACGCCAGCGGCCCGAGCTGGCCAGGGCTCCTTAGTCGTCACTGATAAATATTAAAGCTGATAGGGACCAAGAAGTAGGCCTGCAGCCTGGCTGGGAGCCTGTGCCTCTGGTTGCTCTGCCGTCACCCTCCTGCAGTCACCCGTGAGCCAGCCGAGCGGGATCAGGACTCAGGAGCTGTGCGAAGCCAGCCCCTCCGTTACCCCGAGCCTGGGGAGTCATCGGGTAGGCAGGCCCTCTGACAGGACGTCTACCCTCCATGCAAGGACCAGGGATGCTGTCCAAGAACCAGGCCCTGCCAGGCCCTCCCCTCTCCCACGGTCCCACCACCTCTTCCTAAGTGTCATGGCTGCACCTGCAAACGCTGACCTACCCCGCTGGACCAGGCGACAGGCCCGTCCGGATCAGGACTCCTGTGCTCCTGCCTGGAGCTGGGAGGGGCCCTGACACAGACAGTGCGGGGCAGTGCCCGGGCCCTCCGCCCATCCAGGTGCCAGCTGACGCAGGCAGTGTGCCAAAGAGAACAGAGGCCTAGGCCGGGAGGGGGCGGGGAACCCACTCTTGTTCCAAACAGGGACCCAAACTCCTCTGTGCAGAAGATACTTCTCCAGCAACCACTGAGATGGGGTCCCTTCGGGCTTCAAATGGGGTGACCAGGGCCCAGGCCTCCTGGTGGAGTAAGTGTGTGTCTGTCTGCTGGTTCATCGACGCGCAGCCCTGCCCACCTCCCCCTTTCAGAGACGAGGGGCACAACCTTGGGAGAAGGGCCTAGAACACACAGGCCAGATTCCTGGCAGTTCTGCCCTGGGGGTTGGTTGTTAGACCCCCTCCAGGAGGGAGGGAAAAATGAGGTTCACCTGGGGGAGGTCAGGGAGGCCCAGGAGCTCTGAAAAGGCTCCTCCCCACCCCACCTGTGAATGGCCAGCTGGCAGCCAGAAGACGGGACTCCGTGCAGATCCTAGTATCCATGCGACAGGAAGGCAGTTTGAGGTTACTGCCCAAAGCCAGGCTTTCTGCCCCGGGCACGTCCTGCATGGGGCTGTGTACCCGCGTCGGGCCCAGCTACCTTGCACACATTTCTTCTAATTCAGCCAGACGGGGAGCCCTCTCCAGGGAGTGGCCGGGATCCCCATGTCAGTGTCCGCCCCAGGTCCCAGGGCCCTCTGTCCTTCCATCATAACCCAGGGCCTGAGTTCTCAAGCCAGAAGGCAGGGCCACCCTTTCCAAGAGAAGACAGACGTCCCAAGAAATGCCAAAGGCCAGTTCTTTGCCTCCCCCGGGCTGCCGGTGCAGAGCTCCTTTGCTGGCAAGCCCGTCGGGACCTCTTCTCCTCTGTCCCCCTGGTCCCCCGCCCCCAGACCTGCCCCAGCACGGGGAGAGGAAGGAGGGGTGCAGGCTGCGTCCTCCCGTGAGCCCTGCAGCCACAAGGCAGGGTGACCGCGTCTCGTCTGGCCCTCCCCACGCAGCATCACTCGTCGGTCACCTCCACAGAGTCCTCGTCCTTCCTCTCCGCCGACTGCTCCACCGTTTCCGTGTTGTCTGATATGGTTGTCACCTGCCGCACCCAGTCCCTGTCACTGAGAGCCTTTGGGTGACACGGACCGGAGAAGGGGTTGAACCAGTTCAGAGAGAAGTCCCCACCAAAGGTCTCTTTGACCATCTTCCAGCTGCCCGGGTGCACCCTGGGCTGCTGCTTTCGTTTGAGACGCTCAATGCCCTGGAGAGACAATGGATAAAGAGGGTCAGCATGGGGCAGGTGGTGCACCCCAGCCCTGGCACAGCAGAGCACGGAGGCCCCTCAGAGGGCTGACGGGGTGCAGTCGAGTGCGGGGTGGAGGGTCACAGCAAGCAGGGCCTTCACGGGACCAGAGCTGCGCTTCCCACCCCCACCCAGCTCACCCCCTCCTCCCACAGGTGCAAGGATTGCCCAGCCTGGCTTAGTAGGGCCAGCTGTGCACAGGGGCCAGGCTGCCGATTGGCCAAGAACATACAGGCCTCTCCCGTGTGAGCTGGGCCACGTGTCCTGAGTCCATTAAAAAGGTGACCCCTCCCTAAGGATTCTGGGCCACTCCTACAGTAGGTGCAGCGAGCAGCAAACTTAGCACGGAGGAAGGTGAAGGGGAGAGTGTGGGGTACAAACATGGGAGCTGAGGAAGCAGATGTGCCCACACCAGCGACAGCATGCAGCAGGCAGCCAGGGGGCACGGCACTGGGCAGGCAGATGCGGCGCGGGCCTGCTCATGCAGTGGCCACACCCTGCGGCCTCTCCCACGCTGCCCACTCACCTGCCTCTGGGCGGAAGCTGCGACTCAGCCACTGGGCCGCAGAAAGAGGGTGTTGAGTAAAGAGAGAAGCCACCAAGAGTTAAAGGCGCAGCCAGGCCAGCTCCGAAGGCCCACAACACTCTCCACGGAGGTTTCCCCCACAGTGCCTTCTCCACCTCTTCTGGAAGCCAAGGGAATGGGCTGCGGGTCTGTCAGGCGTGGGTGCTGCGCCCTCCCACCTGGGAACGCTCTCCGAGTACCTCGCTCTAGGTTTCCTCTCCTTTCCCACACACGACCCTACCCAGCTGGTCTAGTCCTTTCTGTCTCCTGGAGGAGAAACTGAGGCGCGCACGCAGACAGATCTGACCACACTCAGGGCCGGGTCTCCAGCACTTTCTTCCCACACCATCTCAGAGATTTAAGTTTCTTGGCTTTTGAAAAAATTGTGGGTTGAAGAATCTGACTTCAAAGTATCTCCTCAAAGATACTCAATTACAAAGAGCAAAGCCATAACTTGACAGTAGAGAAGCGTCAGGTGGACAGTCTACAGGAAACGAGGCTCTCGAGCTCCAGAAGTTTGCAAGTCAAATGAGGGTGTCCTAGAACCAGGAGGGGGTGGCTGCACGTCACAGAAGGACTAAATGGCAGGGTTGCACTTTCGAATGGTTAAATTTATGTTGTGTGAATTTCACCTAAAAACAAACACAACCTGTCAAGTTCAGGAAAGACTGAAGGACTGAGAACTCTCGTGGGCTGGCATAGAGCCATGACCAAGGACGCCACGTGGCATTCTGGGACAGAATTATCAGTGGGACAACTGGAGAAACCGGAATAAAGTATGTAGCTTAGTTAATAGTATAGCCACACATTTCCAGGTTGTTGTATCTGTTTTATAAAATTTTACAAGGAAATTTTTACATGATTGGAGGGTATATAGGAGCTCTTTGTTCTATTTTAACCACTTTTTTTGTAAGTCTGAAATTATTTCCAAATAAAAGTTAAAATATGAGCCAAAGATTTATGCAGTGCACTCTTGGACACGATTATAATAATGAGACATTGGAAACAATCGCAGTATCTAATTATGATGGCTATGTAATTTATTCTGTAAAGCAGAACACTATGCAGTTATTAAAAACGGGCCTGTTGACAGTCTCAGCCTCCCGTGGGCCGTGCACCCAGGACCACGCGCCCTCATGGGCTGGCCCCGCCCATCTCCCCTGCTGAGTGGCAGTGGCCATGGCCACCTGAGGTGACTTGCTTTGGGGACTCTGCATTCCTTTTCTGGGTGACTCAGTTTCAAGTTTTGTGTGGACTTAAATCTGTCCTGAAGGCAAAGTTCTTAAGCTGGGAGTGTGCAGAGGCAGCAGCCAAACCACTTCGGGCTCAGGGGAACCTGAGCGGCTGATGCCTGGGAGGGGCAAGGCCCAAACAGCACCTCCTGCAGGCCATGGCCTGCAGGTGTCATTGGTCTGAGGGACACATGAGCTGTGATCTGTGAACTAACCCAATGCTCCAAAGTGAACGTCCCAGGACCAAGGCTCGAAGGGAGACTCAAGCTCGTGCTCTGGTGGCACTCAGCTAAGCCCCACGGAGCGAGAGCGCTGGTCCCCTGCTCCCTCGGGTGGAAGTCACGCTGCAGCCCTCACCCGGCTCCTCACAGAGGCCAGAGAGCACTCTCCGGCGGGGTGTCACACCAGCAGATCCTCCCCCCGCTTCACGGAGCAGCACTTGTCCTATAACATGTAATGCGTTACTTTTTACTTCTTTACAAAAATGCTGTTGCAAACCAATAAACTGACGTCACAAATCACAAACGCTGTGACCTGGTTTGACAGGTGCAGCTCTAACTAACTGCTAACATTTACTAAAGCCATCGATGCGTCAGACACGGTCCTGACACACCTTCATTACCCTCATTTAATCCGCACAGTGGCCTTGTGACGGGGATTATCATCCTGATTTTACAGAAAAGTGTGAGGCGGAAGTTACTGCCCGAGGTCACACAGGCTGTAAGTCCCAGCTGGGTCTGAACCACAGACTGAGCCCAGGGCCCCAGCTGCAGGAGTGCGGGCACCTCTGGCCACGCCAGAGCACGTGCCTGCCCGGGGCTGTGCGAACACCCTCTGCAAGGCTCTTCCCATTCCTTGGATCAGCTCTACCGGCTCCAGTGCGCGCAGAGGAAGAGGGATCCCGGCCACTCTGCTTTGCTGGAGGAAGCACACTGCTCAGATCATCAGGGAGAGGGCGGGGAAATGAAATTTTCATTTTGAGAGAGTAGACCGGCCAGTGGCTTGCGTCTGTTTTGCTGTGAATTCCTTGTCTTCAATGGGGTGATGCTTAGCTCAGACATTTATTTAAGACATGAGAAAAAGCCCTGTGGGAGCGAGGTCCCCAGATGGAAACCCAAGGCCAGAAGCGTGCAGGCTCCGGCTCGGCTCTGCCACTCACCACGTGGAGCCGCCCCTGCACCTGGAGGGACCCAGCTCTGTCCTTTCCCCTTGCCCTTCAGACGCTCCTTCACCCAAAGTGCCCCTTGGTCTGGAAACCCGATGAGCTGGCAGCACTGCTGGCTGCGGAGGGGGCTCCCAGTGGGCACAGCCGCTCAGCACCAGAGCCCTGCAGCACAGGGCCACCAGCAGGGCGACCCCGAACACCCCAGTGGATTCTCAGACTTGAGCGTGTGTCAGAATCATGGCAGGGCTGTTGAAATCAGATTGCTGGCCCCATCCCGAGGCGGGGCTCGAGAACGTACATTTCTAGCAAGTTCCCAAGTGGTGCTGACACTGCGGGTCCGCGTGCCACTTGGGAGGCACAGCCACTGTAGGTTCTCGGGAGGGGTTCTAGCGCGATCCTCCTGTTCACATGTCTTTGGCATTTGAAGGCCCCTTCTAGGTTGGGCGGCACCCAACTCCCTCTGCTGGCTGCCTCCCCCTTGAGGCTGATGCACTGTAAGTTGAAAGACCTGAAAACCCATTAGCCCAACCAGCCTCCCATGGTCTGGGGTTTGTGTGATGGTCATCTCACACAGGTGGTCAACAGATCTTTCTTAATTGACTTCATCTGGAAGATTCCCGCATCAGGAAGGCGGATTTTAACTTTCTAAGCAGTCTAGCCAGAATCAGCAAAAGCTGGTATCAAGGTGTCTCCCTTTGGATTACTCCAAGAAAATGCTAGGAGATGAGTGCTTATGACTACAGGGAGACGTGGCACAGGCACTGCACCGGCTCCCTTCGCACGGCCACCAAGCCCACGCACGCCTGCACAGGTGTTCGCACCTGGGCCTCTGCACTCGGTCCAGTTGCTGTGAACACGAGTCTCCTAATTCCCCGCACCCTGTCGCCTTCCTCTTTCTCGCTTCCACTCTCCAGAGGCCACGTTTGGAAAGACTGTGGCCGTTACTGGCCCGTCTGCCGCGCGTGCCGGCATTCAGAGCTGCCCTGACTCCTGGGCCGTCTGTGTGTGGAGAGATGTCCTGTCACTAGACGCCTGGGAATACTGAGAGCTCGGGAAGGCCCATTTCAACCACTCGCTACACTGCAAATGACAGCCATGTCCCTCAGGCACTGTGCTCCCAGCCAAGGGCCTCCCATCTCAGTGACCAGGGAGAGGAAAGGCACAGGGACTCTTGGGGGTGTTCTGACCTTCTGAGCACATATCACTCTGAGCTTGGGAACTGGGGAACATACACTTTGCAGCAAAGGGCTCACGGACACCCAGAGGTAGAATCATACAGAATGTTGGCGGGGGCCTGTCTCTCTGGAAAGATAAATGAAGTATGCTCACGTAAAAATTTGACCTTGAAGATGGGGTATTCAGAGGGCATCCAAACACTTAAAAATGTTCTCTGGGTCCCAGTGTCCCTCCCGTAGCAGGAGGAGGGAGCCCCGAGGGGCGCGAGCAGGGCCAGGACCTCTGACCACTCTCGTGTCCTTGAGGAGCCACACTCGTCCACGAGACGTGGGAAACAGGTGCCATAAGCCAGATCTGACACAGCCCTAAGCCTCACGGCGGCACACAGCACAGCAGGGCGCAGTTCTTCGGTTAAACACCGAAGGGATGATGGGAGCTCCTTAAAGCAACACACCAGAACTGTGTGTGGAAGTTTTCAGCTATCTCCTCTGGCTTTCAGCGGGGTGGACAAGAAAAGGGTCACTCCCAGGCCGAACCCCAAGAAGCAAAGTCTGCAGATCCGATGACCTTTTCCATAGCAACTGACAACCCCGGAGCACAGGCAAGGGCTTTGGGCTGCAGAAAGCCAGAGGAGAGAGGCTAGCGGGGCAAGCTTGTTCAAGAGGGGGACCTCGTGTCCTTTAAAAACAAAGAGAAACCTCATTCAAGAGAGGGAGCATAAATAAATGTCCTTTGAAAGCAATGAACTGAACGCCTGAACACAGCAAACACTTAAGGCGGGGCCAGTCCCCGGGCCCGGCCGCGGCCACACCGCAGACAGAGTGCAATGACAGCAGGTTTTGGAAAACTTTTATTGCATTTGGTTTCCAGGTGGAAGCACGGACAGAACTGAAAAGAGGCGGCATGTTCCTTTCTGAACAATCCCGCAGCTAGATTCACAGTCTCCCATATCCACAGCTGGATTTAATAAATCTACCCCCACCCCCACCCCACCCCAAGCAAGAGCTAAAAAAGGTTTCTGTCCACTGCTTAAAAAAAACAAATCCATGTGTAAGAATTCAGATGATCAGTGTTCAGATTTCTGAGCTTTGCATGTGACCAGCACTGTCTCCTCACCAACCCCACAGTCTCCATTCAGGCCTTCCTCTTGCAAATGAGACTCGAAACAGGAAGTGCCTCCAAGGGAAAGGCTGTCCAGACCCAGCACCACAGGCTGAGGTGGACCTGCTCACTCCAGTGAGGGACGGCCACCCACCAACTCTGCCAAGTCAAGGGGCTGGAATGTCACCCTTACATCATGGTCAGCCCCAGGCCAGGGCGACAGTCTCCCAGGTCAGAATACAGACATGGGTACGTGCACATTTATGGGTCTAAATGTCAGAAAGTGCACCTGCTTTGGCAACTTACAAAACGAAGAGAGGGTTGATGGTGGGGCTGCGGCTGCTGAACCGAACCGGGCCAGGAGGCAGGGAGGGGCGAGAGCCTAAGCAGACTGACAGAGGAAAGTGGAGCCTGAAACTGCATCACTTTTTTCTTTTGATTGTGTAAGGCATTTTGAACCGGAAAGACTTCTTTCCTTCACACTCTTCCAAATGATCAGAGGGAATTTAACTGGTGACTCAGAATACAAATAAGACCCCTTTCATACCCCGCCCCACCCCCAGTCACTCCACACACCCCGACCCATACCAAGTACAAGGCAGGCGATTGATTTCCTGGATCAGGAGGCAAACCATGTCCACAGCGGGGAGGCTCTGCCCCTCTGTGCCACGGGGAGCATCCATCTTCGGCGCACCGCCACTGCCTCCTGGGCGGGCGGTCACAGCCCCGCTCCCCCGCAGGCGGCTCAGTTAGTAGGAGAGGGTGTGGCCGGGGGACAGGCCCTCCACGTTAGTCATGCCAGACAGACAGCAGAGAGGAAACCAGAGGCCAGAGAAGTGATTTGTAAAAGGAAAAAGAAGAGCAGCTTCGGTTGCCAAAAAATAGAAAGGATGATCTTCTAAAAATATAACATGGGGACATGTTTTTCTCTGCAACGCTCGGCCATTTTACTTGAGACGTAAAAAAGGTTTTGGAGCTGTTTAGCTTTCTCGTTTGGACACTGGCGAGAACGGACCGGCGCTGGGCTGTGCTGTGTGTCATGGCAACGCCGGGCAGGGTCCCTAGACCACGTACTGGGACGGGTCTGCCTTCCCTTGGTCTGGCGTGGCAAAGGGGCTGGCCCAGGCTAGAGAGAAGGGGTGGCCGAAAACGGCTTTCATGTTCATCCATTTTGTTTTTTTAGCCCATCTTCTCTCTTCCTTTTTCAATTGCTCTATTCCCTGAAAACAAGAACAACCACACTTCAGTCAAGCGCTTCGGGGCTGCGGGTCAGGGGAGGGAGGTCCGTTAGCCCGAGGTGAGCCGAAGACGCGCTTCCTTTTTAAAGCCGTACAGCTAACTACGTCATACATTTTCCTCCCTTTCTCCCACAAAAAGTGTTTTTTAAAAAATCATACTTTTTTGGGGGGTGGCAGATATTTTTAAGTCCCTCCAGGAAGGGCGGGAAAATGAGCAAATCAACAAGCACCTAGGCCCCTAGTCCGCCGAGGCGTGCGCGGTCAGCGGCTGATCGCGGGCGGCTCCCCAGGTGCTGGGCCGAGCGTGGGCGTGGCCTGCCGGCGTGGGAGCGGCCTGCTGGGTGTAGGCGTGGCCTGCCGGCGTGGGAGCGGCCTGCTGGGTGTGGGCGTGGCCTGCCGGCGTGGGAGCGGCCTGTTGGGTGTGGGCGTGGCCTGCCGGCGTGGGAGCGGCCTGCTGGGTGTAGGCGTGGCCTGCCGGCGTGGGAGCGGCCTGCTGGGTGTAGGCGTGGCCTGCCGGCGTGGGAGCGGCCTGCTGGTGTAGGCGTGGCCTGCCGGCGTGGGAGCGGCCTGCTGGTGTAGGCGTGGCCTGTCGGGTGTGGGTGTGGCATGCCGGCGCGGGCGCGGGCGCGGCAGTGCCCTGAAGGCTTTGGCTCCGAAGCCTGAGCTGGCGCTGTCAGCCAATGAGGGCTGCTCATTTGGGGTTGGTTCACAGGAAGTGTGAAGTTAGCAAGACCACTTTGCAGACAAAAAAGTAGGAGCGAGTCAAAGGCAGCTCTGGCGCGGTCAGACCCGCCAGCCTGGAGGGCCAGGAAGCACAGCCGAGAAGGTGGAAGAGGAGGGACAGACCCGGCCAGGGGAAAGTCACCAGAGAAGGAAGGAGAGGGTTAGTACAGGTCAGAGGGCCGCAGAGGCACCAGTCAGCCTCAGTCACAGCAAAAGCCTTCCCAGGGCTCTTGTGGGGAGAAGTGTGACCCCAGGCCACCTCGACAACTGTCACAGAGCCTTCATGCCCCAAAGTCTCACAGGAAAAGTGGGGGCTGCGGAGAAAGTTGGTCAGTGGGCGGGGCCAGAGCGCGTGCCCTGCCAGAGGACCGGAGAGAAGCAGTGGTCTGGGGTCTGTGCCAGGGACTGTGATGGGGGGGGGGGGAGCAGCGGGGGGGGGGCTTAGGGGACAGCCGGGCCTGCGGCACTCAACCTAGGGACCTGGGAAGGAGCGGTGAGGGGAAGACCCTGATTCCCATGAGTTGTGGGGCCCTCCCTTCCTTTCTTCTTTCCTTTCCAAGGATTCCTCCAGGGGCAGAACTGCTAGGGCCAGGGCCATAGGAGTCCCCCCCCCCCCAAGACTATGGCCTGTGTGGCCTGGCAGCACCCCAACAGCAGGCGAGCAGGTGGGGCCGGACAGTCACCTTGGGCTCCCTGATGCTGTCCACAGAGAAGCTGGTCATGTTTACTGCATGGATTCACAGCTGGATCTGCCACTGGCTACTATTTCTATAGATACTCTTTTGCAGTATTTCTTATAAAAGAAAATGTTGCTGAGAGCCCCCCAACCTTCTAAATCATCAGAAACTTCCACAGGTGCAAAGGTGGTGCCTTGGCAGCTGGGAATGGCCTCAGCAGCTCTGTCCTCAGCTGAGCCTCCATCCAAGGCTGACTATGGGTGGCCTGCAGCCCCCCAACAGGGGCCCTACTGAGAGATGCCACCTGAGGAGATACTGGGAAGCCAGGATGGACTCGTGACCTCACGACTCTACCTCTCCCTTCTGGGCCCCTTACAGGAGACCTCAAAGCCAAAAAGAGAAGAGATGCCCATATCACAGCCATGGGTCAACCATCTTGAGGCTCCTGGACACCTCAGGAAGGTTGGAAGGCAGTGGCAGTGGCGCCAGGGGAGTGGGCTCTAGCCCAGCAGCTTCGAGGCTCCTGGAGGAGACGCTGTGAGCAGGTGGAAGGCAGGGCCAGGGAGAAGTAATGGACAGGACCAGAGCTGGGCCAAGCAGAGGTGACCCAGAGGCCAGACGAGAACTTGCTGCCCACTGCTCCAGGGGCTCAAGGCAGGGCTGTCTCCTGATTGTCCACAGGACCTAGCCATGAAGTCACCTCCTCTGGGAGGCTGACTCTGCCCTTATCATCTGGGTTACAGAATCCTTTGTCCACCACTCCATCTCCAGGCCTGTGGCCCCCGGATGGCAGGTGTCTCAGTACCCAGCAGAGTGCCTGGTACAGAGCAGTGCACAGACAGAACCATCACGGGAGGATGGAAGGACCTGTGACGAAGGGAACCCATCACCAAGGCTGCTGGCCCGTTCCTGGTGTGACTTGCCCTACCAGCCCCAAAGGGGAAGGATTCGTGTGCACGAGGATCAGTGTCACTGCGAACGGGAATGTGCCTGCTCACCGGGTATGGCCCACAAGCAGCCCTCCCAGCACTACCTGCCCTGGGGCCACCCCCAACCCCAGGTGGTGGGCAGGCCATCTGCTTACCGTCTCATCTGTGCAGATGGAGTGCACCTGGGTTCCAAACATCACCGACGTGAAAATGAGGAAGAGCAGCCCCTCAAAGCACAGCAGGATGAGGAGGATCACCGTGGTGGGCGGCGAGAAGTAGCTGCATTCTGAAAACAAGGGGCACGTGGGGCTCAGGGCTGCGGCTGCCGCCCATTGCCCCCAGGGCTGCCATTCTGCCTGAAGTCCTGCAGATCGGTCCTCCTGGGTGCCATATGTCTCTGGCCTCCAGGACCTGGTGAGGATCCTTCTGCCCACACCTGGCTGCACCAACACCCCATACGGAAGCCCTCCTCAATGGGCTGGGCCCCTGCCAGGGCCTCCCCTCCCTCACATGCACCAGTCCGTGCTCACTGTTCCTTCCCCCACCAGCACGATGTCTGTCCCAGAGCCGGGCACAGTGCCTGGCACATGAAAGGAACCAGAAAAGGGCTCAGGGCGGAGGCACGAAGGCCTGACGACACCACAGGGAGACCCTGACGTCCTCAGAGCACACTGCAGGTGACCCAGGTGGAGGGGCCTCAGTCCCCTGGTGTGGCTGTGAGCGTTCTGGGCATTCCTTTACCCTCTCTGCTCAGGAATGAGAGAGGGCAGGTCTGGAGGGTCACTGGGGAGCTTTGGGATGTGAAGCTCACTGGGGGCAGCGTGACTGCTGGGCTTGAGCCGGTGTGAGCCAAGCGCCACAGGAGTGCCCTCTCAGGACACCTGCCTCATTGAGCTAGTCAGTCCCCAGGCTGCAAGTCTCCGCGGAGCCAGCTGGCCACAGCAGGCACCTTCTCTCTCCTGGCCCCTGCAAGCCCATGCTGACCTGCGGTGTGACCCGAGGTGAGTCCTTGCCCCTTTTCTGGTCTCACCTCCCTCCACTGTAGCGGGCTTAGGGCCGGGGAGAATAAAGGGGGCAGGTGCAAACCGTGAACACAGGAGGTGGGGGGAGCCTCTTATGTGGTCGGGAGCTAGAGACACTGTCCCTTTGACAGCCTCACGAGGTCTGAGAAACCGCAGCCAAGACGCCTAAGCAGCCCGCGCGTACAGGAAGAGTGTTCTACAGGACAGGGAAGTGGAAAATGGGCCCATCGAGGGGAGAAACAGTAGAAATAGGTTGTTTGTCTCAGATCATGTGTGTGAGGGATCTAGCCCAGCAGGCGGCCTCTCTTAAATCCTTCAGCATCTATTAAAAATTTCTTATTTTTATTCTCCTTTTACATTTCATTTATTTATCTTTTTCAGCATCTATATTTTCCCTCAGAATTTATGTAATTTTCCGGTTGGAGTTCCTTCCTTGGTATTTACACGTTTAAATGGGGTACTTCTAAAGCAGGAAGAATTTGTCTACAATCTTAATGTAAATTGGTAATCAGGCAGTTAAAAAAACACCACAAAAGGCAAACAAATTAAAACAAATCTCCATATCCCAACCAGGAAGTTAAAAATGAATTTCTGCAAGACTGGAAGTGACCTTTGAATGAAGTGCTTTGCTTAAGGAGATGGGGACAGAAGTTCTCTCTGGGCCTCACCCCCTCGCCCGGGGCTCACCTCCTCCCCGGGGGGGCCTGCCCTCTCCCCCGGGGCCTGCCCTCTCTGCGGGGCCAGCCCTCCCTGGGGGCCTGCCCTCTCCCTGGAGGCCTGCCCTCTCCCCGGGGCCTGCCCTCTCCCCGGGGCCTGCCCTCTTCCGGGGCCTGCCCTCTTCCCGGGGCCTGTCCTCCCTGGGGGCCTGCCCTCTCCCCGGGGCCTGTCCTCCCTGGGGGCCTGCCCTCTCCCTGGAGGCCTGCCCTCTCCCCGGGGGCCTGCCCTCCCCGGGGCCTGCCCTTCCTGGGGGCCTGCCCTCTCCCCGGGGCCTGTCCTCCCTGGGGGCCTGCCCTCTCCCCGGGGCCTGCCCTCTCCCAGGGGGCCTGTCCTCCCTGGAGGCCTGCCCTGTCCCCGGGGCCTGTCCTCCCTGGGGGCCTGCCCTCTCCCCGGGGCCTGCCCTCCCTGGGGGCCTGCCCTCCCTGGAGGCCTGCCCTCTCCCGGGGACCTGCCCTCCCTGGAGGCCTGCCCTCTCCCCGGGGCTTGCCTTCCCTGGGGCACTCAGGCGAGAGGGTCTGCCCCACTCACTTCTCTACTGTGGAACTGACGTCAGGGGGCTGCTTTTCCTTCCCTGGACACAGGTTTGCAGATCTACTAAGTTGAGGGTGGCCCTGGCACACCACAGCGGAAACAAAGAGCCCACCCACTCGTGTCACATGCCCCACCACCCCCAGCGGGAGGAGAGCCCTGGTTCACTCACTTGTCCAATCTTCTTCAAAGCAACGCAGAAAGTGGATTCCCACCATGATGAGGGCATGCAAGGAAATGAGAGCTATGTACATCTGAAACGGGAAAGCGTGCGGTCACTGTGAGAACCTCCTGGCTGCGCAGGCTCTCGGGAAAGGGGCGCTCAGACCTCCCACGCACCAGCACTCAGGATGAGGAACGACCAGGAGCCGGGCCACACAGGAACGCGGCGATCCCCGCACTGGCCCCCCGCCCCCAGCCCCGGGTCTGAGGTGAGCAGCCATTCACTGGGAGTGTGTGGACAAGAACAGAGACAAGTGCCCGTCACCAGGTGTGACCTGGGCTCCAGGTGGGCGGGGCTCCCTCGGGGTGCTGCAGGCCTGCTGCTGCTTCTCACTTGAGAAATCAAGGTGCTGTCTGCCAACGGCCCTTCCGGCACACTGAACACACCCCACCCACCTGCAGCTGAGGAGAGCCTCCTTTAGCTACTCAGAGTGGACACTGAGACTGCAAACCCAGGACACGGCCCTCGCTCACAGCTACTCAACCCGAGTCATTTTCTAGGTGTTCGAGCGAAGGGCGTGGAACAGGCGGGCCCTGCTGAGCCAGGAGAGCGGGCAGCAAGGCCTGCATGGCAGCAGTACTATTCTAGAGCAGCAGAGCACACCGTGAGCTGGGAATTTGGGGACTAAGTGCTGTGGGGCGGAATGGGAAGGGGACTTACTGTAAACAGGACGAAGTACTTCTGGTTGTTCTCGCCCACACAGTTATTGACCCAGGGACAGTGGTGGTCCATCTTCCGAATGCACCGCTTACAAACACTGAAACAGCCCACAAGGCAGACTGTTAGGGGTGCCCTGCAGTGGCAGGAGGGCCCACGGGGAACACAGACTCGCTCTGGCTCCACTCCTCACAGTGGCCTTCTGCTAGGTGTGTGCTGCAAGGGGCCGGACGGCAGTCAGGACCCCAGGATCGCAGTCATTCTCCAAGGCCTCTTGTTATACATAAAAATGGGACAGCACTGAGTGGCTGCTCTCTTGACGTGACACGGAGCTGAGAATGTGGTTTACTAGGATAGAATGAAGCAGCAGCTTCAAAACCTTGACAGGATGAGATGGGAAACGGAAAGCAGCTGCTCCCAATTCCCCAGAAAGACAAAAACCCAGCGGGTGGGGTGCAGCTTCTCAGCAGAGGCTCCAGGGACGGTGGCTGCAGCAAAGGAAAGCCAGAAGCGCTGCGAGCTGGGTCACGTGCAGAATGTCTCAGGGCAGCAGAAGCCCCACCTCTAAGGAACTTTCAGCTCTAAGATAACATCTACTTTGCCAAAAAAGCACCAAAGTCATTTGAGCTTAAGTGCTGATGTGATGATCTAATGAATCTGCAAATTACTGCCCTGGCCCATGTGGCTCAGTGGACAGTGTTGGCTCATGCACTGAAGGGTCGTGGGTTCGATTCCCGGTCAAGGACACGTACCTGGGTTGCAGGTTCGATCCCTGGCGCTGGATGGGGAGAGTGCAGGAGGCAACCAATTGATGTCTCTCTCACATGGATATTTGTCTGTCTGTGTCTGTCTCTCCCCCTCCTTCCCATGCTTTCTAAAATTCAATGGAAAAAATATCCTCCGGTGAGGATTAACAACAGCAAAAAATGTGCAAATTACTAACTTGTTATTGGGATCATTTTTGGAAAGTTTCAAGCTTATTTGGTGGCAAACACCCTCCCTACCCTTTGGACAATTCGAAGTGAGAATGTGAAACGAGCGCAAGGCCAACGAGGCTTGAAAGCAACTGTCCCCCAAAGCCATTAGAAAGACCCACTTGCCAATAGATGGGGACATGGAAACTGTGTTCTTTTCAATTCATTCAAGGAGGCTTCTTCACATTCATCTTGGGGGCATTTGTTCAAAATAGTTGGAAATACTATCAATACAAGCTCAGAAATAATACAATGACATTTCTTTTTTGAAAGTCCCTTAGTTCACACCAGCTTTTCTTTGCACTAGTTTCTATAATGAACTTATCTCAGGTTCTTACAGTGCACAGTGGGTTGTGCACGTGGACCCTGCAGGGTTGGCCTCAGGCCCTGCTTACAGGAGAAGGGCTGCATGGGTTCAAAGGGTGCCGGCCGAGCGCTGGTCTGGCTGACAGGGCAGGGGGCGCGTGGGAGAGACCCCTGTGGTCTCAGTGTCAGTGTCAGTGGCCTCACAGTAGACTCTCCTTCTGAGTGGTCTGTGCTCCAGAGTGTCCCTGGGGCCAGGGGGGCAGGGTGAGAAAGGGAGGCAAGTCAGGTACCGGCAACCCCATGACCTGATCTCTCTTTGTATATGTGTCACTAATTTAAAATATACACGAGCCCTGGCCAGGTGGCTCAGCTAGTTGGAGCATCGTCCCGCACACCAAAAGGCAGTGGGTTTAATTCCCCGTCGAGGCATGTATGGGAGGCAACCGATTGATGCCTCTCTCTCTCATTAATGCTTCTCTCGCTCCTCTCTCTCCCTGGAAAAAAAAGGAAAAAAAATTAATAAAAGATATCCTTGAGTGAGGATTTAAAAAACACACACATGAATGATAGATGAGGTGGGCAAAAGTAGGTTTACAGTTATGAGTATGTGAGTTTATTCTCATATCATGTGTATTACGACTGTAAACCCACTTCTGCCCATCTTGCACTTCAGTTGGTAACACCTGTTCCTGGGACCAGAGACAAGGGGACGCTAAGAGTGATGTTCCCTGCACCCTGGGCCTCAGCCAGCAGGCCCCAAGTCCCCTCCACGGAGCCACCACATGAGCCCATTTCTTGCATGACCTTCGCGGGACAATCAGTTCTGGGGTGTCTCAGCCCCTCCCTGTCGGGAAGAAACTCCTGAGGGGCCCACCCCCTGCTCTAGCCTCTTGAGCGGCTTCTCTTCCGTCGCACTTATTTCAAGAGGTTCAAGTGGTGCTCTGCGGCCTGTTTGCTTGGCAGAGGTGCCACTGGCCGGACAGCCCTGGAAGCTGCCCAGGAGCCGACGCCAGCTCTGCCAGCAAACCCAGCCTTTGCTCTCCCAGCCTCGGAAGAGCCCGGGCGCGCTGGGAGCGCTGTCACAGGGGCCATTGTCAGCTGGCGGCCCGTCAGGAAACTACTTGTCCCTCGGGGCGCAGGGAAAGTGAGTCCAGCCCACTGAGAGCTGCAAAACTTGGTCCAGAGTGCGAGTCTGCTGTTTGCAAAGATGCGGAGTGCCCAGATGGCACCCCTTCCTCTGGCTTACGGAGTGAGTTGTGCAGAAGCAGGCTCCTGGGCCAGGCGGTGGCGCATGTTGAGTGTGGGGGGTCCATTCACGCTGGTGGCTGAAGGCACTGTGTAGAGGCTGACACCCCACAGCTCATAGAACACCCAGCCTGAATGGCTCGGGCTGGGGCCTGGAGGTGGGTCCTTAAGTGGGTCAGGGAAGGACCCTCTGGGCCCAGGGTGGTGACTGCCCACACCCTGCCAAGCCCTTCCTTGGCACTTGGCCCCAGAGGAGCTGGCTGAGGTTCTCTTGCCCTCTCTGGGTGATGGCCCACATGGAGACAAAGCATGTCCGTGACATCCCCGCGTCGCTCCCTACAGTGGCATTCACCAAATGGCACCACAGTGGACAAGTGTACCTGCCCTGCCATGTCTAATCCACCACTACAGCCCAGAGCCAGGTCCAGGGCCCCACTTAGCAAGCGTCGGCCGAGTGCAGGCTCTGACTTGGCGGACGGGGAGGAGCGAGCCTGGATAGGGCTTCCCCGAGGCAGACCGGGCTGCCCCAGCAGGAACGAGAAAAGGACACAGCCAGAGGTCCCAAGTGCTGCCAAGTCGTGTTTTCGTCTCACATTTCTTCGCTATGATTAAAAGTGTAAGCAAAAAAGGCATCTGCCACGTCCTGGTCCCGCTCAGAGACAATTCTGGGTGAGGTAGTGGAGAGAGTACTGTGCTCTCAGAACTCCATTTGGGCTCTGGGCCAAGAAACCTAGCTTCTCCAAACCAGCTCTGCAGAATTAGCCCTGATGTCTCTCACGGTTGAGACAATGTATATACAGAGAATGCTTTAAAAACAATTCTAGAGCTACAGAAACTTTATCAGTAATCATAACCACGAGAAAGACAAAACAAGAATCTGGCAGATGCCCTAAGCAGTCCATGACCGTCTCAGCCTCAGGGTATGTTTGTGAGGGTTGTGGGGAAGGTTAGGAGGGGGTGGCCTTTGCCAAGGTCAGAGGTCTCCACCTCCCTGTGCAAGAACCTAATGCATAAACTTAACACCTAGGCTGTCCACTTCACCATAAACAGCTCCCTGGGGTTCGAGCATGCCTCTCCTTAGGGGAAGGCCCACGGCGCAGGCTAGGCTGGAAGAACACCCGCAGGCCCAGGTTCGGGCAGTGTGTGGTGGCTGCCAGCACCCAGAGTGCAGGGAGCTGTCCATTCCATGGGCCCGCCTGAAGGAGAGGAGCTGAAGAGCTGGGTGCAAGCACCTCCCCAGCAGGCAAGACCGACAGCTTCCTCTGGCCAGGCAGCAGCGTCTTGGCTCCAGCAGGCATGAACCCGACTCTGTTCATCCAAAACTGCGGGTCCCCGACGGCATGCGCCACCAGGAGCCACCCCAAAGGAGCAGGCGCCAGCACAGTTCCTGTGCCAGGAGTGGGCGGCACACAGGCACCCTCCCTCGAGCCCACAGGATGTGTACGAGCGTGCAGGAAGCTCTCCCTTGGATCGGCCCGGGACGGGTGAGGTGGTGGCTGTGAGGAGCACGCCGGGCAGCAGTGGCAGCCAAGGGCTCGGAGAGAGCGAGACACCACCTCGCCGCTAGAGCCTTAGTACTCATTCAGGGAGTCATCCCTCCAGCAAAGCCATCTCCAAGAGAGAGCGTGAGGACGAAAAGACAAGGAGACGGGGCTGAGGTGCCCAGGACACCAGGTGCTCAGCAGCTGACCATGGGCCGGGGAGCTGGAGGCTGACGCTCTCCCCTGAGAGGTGGGCAGTGAAACCCACACAGAAATGCCCCCTTGCAGTCGCTCACAGCCTCAGACTGGCACAGATGACCTCTGACGTCAGGAGTCAGGTCACTCCTCCGAAACCTCCCCCCAACACCCAGTCTGACAAAGGGACCAAGTGAATGTTTGTATTTCTGTAATTTAGCATTAAAGTTCCCTTGTAATGGTCAAGTGCAATTTTTAGCTCGATGTTGTCAAAGAAATCTGAAAACCAAAAGGGAAAAATCATCACAGGCAAGAAGGGGAAATGGTTTATGGGCTGAATCTACCATGTCATGACCTCTTGAAGTTTCTTTTAAAGAAAAGCCTTCAACCAAGGATGACCCCTTCACTTCCCTGTAAAAGTTAAGAGAATGGTCCACCTCTTAAATGGGTCAAGTACTAGACATTCACAGAATGGTCTCCTAAAGCTTTTTCTCAGTTGTCCAGACCAAAGGAATAAAGCTGTGACATAGGAAGAGCAGGAATCTCCTGGACTTTACAGATCTGGAAACTAAGTCAGAGTCTAGGGCCTGCGTCCTACGTCAGGTGTGGCAGAGCAAGTCTTGAGACAGGTGTCCTGAGCCCAAACCAAATGCCCTTTCCCATTTAGTAAGCTCAGGGGATCAGGAGGGAGACTTGCAGTGGGCACTTGGTGCCCAGAGCAAGGGACATTCAGAAGTCCAGTTGCTGATGCCCCCGAGGGGAGGTGTGTGTGTGTGAGCGCGTGCGCGCCCAGTGGCACGTGTATACCTGCAGTGGTGCGCTCGGTCGGGCTTGATGCTGCAGCACTTGGGGCACTTGTACACCACCTGGCCGGGCTTCAGCTGCAAACTCTCGATGAATTCTTTAGTGGCATTTCCTTTGGGCACTGCGCCCTGTAAGAATAAGGAAAGGCGTCAGGGTTGGGGCAGGGGTTCCACCAGTGCTGACATTCCAGTGGACACAGTAATTTCAAAGTAGAGCCACACAGGGACGGGAGCGTTCATCCCAACAGGTGGACTCTGTTCGGAATTACACTGCACGATGAATCCTTATTGACAGTTTCCCGAGGAAACGCCAAAAGGTGAACACATAGGTGCTTGTTGTGTCGTCCTTACCCTTTCAACTGTCTGAAGTGTTTCATTAAAGATTTTCTAAAAGTTCAAATAGAAGTAGAAAAAGCCCAGCTGGTGTGGCTCAGTGGTTGAGCATCAACCCATACACCAAGAGGTTGCCGGTTCGATTCCCGGTCAGGGCACATGCCCAGGTTGTGGCCAATCCATGTCCTCTCTCATCAATTGTTTCTATCTCTCAACTCCTCTCTCTAAAATCAATAAAGAGGGAGAAAAAAGAAGTAGAAAAAAAACCTGGTCTGCAAAATGCAGTCAGATGCCAGAAAAGCCTACGACAGAAAGTTCAAAGCAAATAAACGTTGGTCAGCAAGCACTATATGGTACGTACAATGCTATTTAGAATAATAGTTTTACATGAAATATGCCATAAGAGTACAGTCCACAGCTACTGACACAGAAAACACCTATAACAGATTGTTAAAGGAAAACATAGATTTCCAAATAGTATGTAGAATATGAGCCTGTTTTGGTAAAGATTTTACATATCCATATATAAAAAGACAAAGATATATTCAAAAGTATTAATGGTTATCTCATATAGTAGACTCACAGAAACATCTTATTTATTTGACTATATTTCTTTTTTATTTTAAGATATTTTTCTCTATTTATTTTTAGAGAGAGAAGAAGAGAGAGGGAGAGGGAGACAGAAACATCGATGAGAGAGAACATCGATGGCCGCCTCCTGCATGCCCCTCAGTGGGGGTTTAGCCCACAACCTGGGCATGTGCCCTGACCGGGAATCAAACCGGCAACCTCTTGGGGCATGGGTCGACGCTCAACCACTGAGCCACACCGGCTGGGCTTGACTATATTTCTCAAATGTTCTATTATGAACATGTGGCTTTTGCAATAAAAAAACAACAACAAAACAACCTTATTAAACATACAAGCAAAAATATACACCTCAGGAAGGAGCTACCCAAAGTAGGAATATGACCAACTTTCCTGAAGTTTGTAACCAAAATGCTGTGCGGCAGCTGAGGGCCCTGCTGGAGGCACCAGGGCAGGGCCAGGTCTGGAAGGCAGGGCCCAGACCACCCAGGTGAGCAGACTTTAAAGGGGCCTTCGAAGGACACTAGCCCAGGCAGAGGAGAGGGTACTACAAACCCCAAAAACAAAAACACTAAGCTATATACCTGAAACCAATACGAAATAAAATTGAAAGTAAAAAAGCAGAACAAAAACCCCGGAAATGTCCTGTGACGATACAATCTACCGATTACGTGAAATGGAGATGTATGTGGAAATCTCTGGCTTGAAAGACTGAGTGAGCATAATTAAAAAGAGAATAAGAAAAAAAAAATTTAAACCCAGAGGGCCTTACTTTTAATTCTCTTTAATATAAAAAGTAATTGAGTTTGGGCAATTGTGTGACCTTATGGATCCTGAGGCCACACAAGTGTAACCGGAAGTCATTACTGTCACACGTCCCGAGCAAAAGCACTGGGGAACATCGTTCCCCCAGGGAGACAAGCAGCAGGAACCTTTTCCTGAAGGGAGGCCCAGCTTGGGGTTTGCCCCGCCCCCATGTCCAGAGTTTAAGGTCCAGCCACAGAACTTGCTGGGAAGCAGGAGGCCCGCAGGAAGGGCCAGGAGAGGAAATCCCTAGCTGCAAAGGGCTATGGGAGCGCGCACGTGGTGTCCTCCCAGCCTGCTACTCCAGCGAGATGGGAGGCAACACGTAAGAGCTCAGCCCTTCTAAAAGTTGGCCCCTCCGCGGGGGCTCCATCTGCATAACCCTCCTGGAAGCCTCATTCCCATCCAGGTCAGACCCCATCTGCCCCTTGACCCTCTCTCAGAGCAGACACCAGCTGGGCCCCAACACGGAGGCGGCTGTCACACGGGCACCTGCCAGGCTCTGCCTCAGATGTCTTTTTTCTTTTTTTAAAAAAAAGAATATGCTCTTTTGGGCTCATCTCCATGGATTTCGGACTTCCTGTTACTAGTTCACAGGAAGGAATTTGTTCCAGGCGATCGGGACAGATGGGGAGAGGCAGGGAGCGCAGGCCTGCTGAGCCACTGGTCCTGGCGGAGTGTGCACCCCCATCCCGAGCGCCCTCCCGCCTCCATTCTCACACAGCTCACAGGGATGTCTGGAAGCCTCCATGCTGCAGCCTGGCAGACCCCTCATTTCCAAATAGTACTTGTTCGTGATTTTTAAAACTATACAGATGAGAAAATTAAAAGGGAAAACCCACTCTTTGACTATCTCCCAAAGATAAGTGCTATTAGCATTTTGAAGTACATTCTTCCAGTCTTTTCTCTGTGCACAGAGTAAGCTAAAAACACTTTAAAACATCTACAGGTCCAGCCCTGGCTGGTTTGGCTCAGTAGATGGAGTGTCGGCCTTTGGACCAATGAGTCAAGGGTTTGATTCCGGCCAAGGACATGCACCTCGGTTGTAGTATCTGGGTTGTAGTTCGTCCCAGGCCCTGGTCGGGGGTCCTGCGGAAGGCAACCAATCGATGTGTCTCTCTCATATTGATGTTTGTTTTTTCTCCCTCCCTCCCACTCTGTCTGAAGATAAATGGAAAAATATCCTCGGGTAAGGATTTAAAAAAATCTATAGATCCATAAAAATGTTCACATGCTTCTCAAGTATTGACCTGGTCTCATGTGGAATCCGGTCATGCCCAGGGGAGGGAGGAGTAATACGGCTCGATCAACCATTCTCCTCGGGAGCTGCCCAAACTTCCACTACTTCCTTGACCCCTGCCCACTTCCACTGCTCGTTGGGGTTGCTGGGTAAACCCCCTTCATAGTCCTCTCTGCCCAGCCCTGCCCCAAAGTCCCCTTCACAGACCAACCTGAAGCCACATGCACTTGCTGTCTCCGCTCACCTCTCAACCCCCCTTAGTCACTGCTCTCTGGCACCTGTCACCTCCACACCAGGGAGGTGCTCTCACCAGGTCCCCCAGCAACCAACTCCCTATGGCCAAATCCAAAGGCTGATTCTTCACTCTCTTCTCCCTCAGGTCCCTCCAGGAACACAAGGTCCTCCTCGCTGTCACCCTCTCCCTGGCTGCCGGCTCCCTCTGGATCTCCGCCTCTCCCTGTCTCTCAAGAACCTGCCCATCCTGGACACTGGTGTTCCTCAGGGTTCTACCGGCCCTTTCCCTGTATGTTCTGTGTCCCTCCCACCCCGCCCCGCCGACAACATTCCCCTGTCACCACCCAGCGATGCTCAAATTGCCAGCTCCAACTTACACCTCTTTTGGAGCTACAGATAATTCCACCTGGTTGTTCAAAATGCATTAAAGCAAATAACACTAACCTCCCAAATCCAACACACTAGAACCGAACCCATCACCTTCTCTCCAACTGTTCCAGGAAGAAATCCAGTGGTCACCCCCAACTCTTCTAACCCTTGGCCCCCGCCCCCACCTCCTCTGCCAGGTTAATTTTGCCCCAACTGTGCCTTGAACCATGTTCTCCCCTCCGAACCACTGTCATGGCCTGCTTGAGCCCCATTCTCACGTGCCCCAGACACTAGAGAATCTGCTTCCTAAAACACGAATCTGATCATTCCTTCTCCTTGCCTGAAAGCTTTCACCTGGCCTGAGTCCAAGCTCCTGGGCAGGGCTCAAGCAAGGCCACCACCACCCAGCCCTGGGCCACCAACCTGCGGTCTGTCTTCCTGACAGGCCTGCGGTGGGTTGCATGGCATTTCCAAAGGCACTGCCCTCAGGGACCCTACCCTGCTTTAGCACCTCCCCTCCAGCCTGCCAGGCACCTCCTTGCCTCCTGCGCCCAAACCAACACCCACTCAAGGATGCCTCTTCTGCCTTCTTACCAATGGCCCCAGGCCACACCCGGCAGAACCCATCTCATGGCCTTTGTGCTAGCTTGTATCTGTCTTGTAAGAACTATCGTTTAATTACACCCTGATCTCTCCTACATGACTGTAAATTCCTGGAGGACAATGTCTTTCAACTTGCAGCCCAGTGAATGGCCCAGGGCCTGGCATGGAGCATGTATTCAATAAATTCAAGCTAAACAATGAGGAGCATCCAACAGACATTTATTGAGCACTTATGAACCAGGCACAGCTCCAAGTCCTTTACTGTATTTGCCAGTTAACTCTGACAATAAACCTACGAGGTAGAGACTATGCTATTCCTCACTTTATAGGTAACTAAAGCAAAGAAGTTAAGCAAATCCCCCAAATCCTGTGGCTAATAACTGCATTCAGACCCAGACAATCCAAGTCTAGAACCTATGCCTCTATCAGAAGGCAACATATATTTGTCAGATATATATATATTTTTTATCCTCACCCAAGGATATTTTTCCATCTTTTGTACAGATAGACTGGGAGGGAGAGAGAGGAAGGGAGAGAGAGAGAGAGAGAAACATCGACGTGAAGGGACACATCGAGTGGCTGCCACCCGCACGACCAACCAGGGCCGGGGACAAACTGCAACCGAAGTACGCGCCCTTAGCGGGAACCGAACCCGGGTCTCTCCGGACCGCAGGCCGACGCTCTAACCGCTGAGCCAAACTGGCCAGGGCTGTCAGATATTTTTGTTAAGTGATTTGAAGAGACTTTTTAGTGCCTTGATGACATAATGTCATTCTCCTGCCAACGACTGTATCAGCACACTAGCTCTGACTGGGACAGGCCTAGGGGAGTAAGGCTGCTTCGGGGTGTCAGGGTAACAGGAAAATGGAAAACGGACACAATGGAAAGCCATGGCTTTCGCAGAAAGGCAGGAGGTAGGTCATCCCCAACTGGTAGGCTCTCCCCTCTGGAGCCAGAAAGGGATGTCGATTGGCATCTGTAAGTTGCTCAGTGGCAGGTACGAGGAGTTGCCTGACGCACAAGGAAGCACCCTGCTCAAATGAACCCCGAGGCAAGTCCCCGGACCTTGCACGGGGAACGTGGCAATACCTTCTCCTGGCCAGGAGGACCTCGTGCCATTCCTCTTCTGTGTTCCCGAAGGCCGGACATGCCGCCATGCTTCTGGCCCCAGTAAATACTTGCCACCTGATTCTACACAGCGTGTGCTCAGTAATGTCACCAAGGGAGACTCCAAAAGGAATACCACCTGCTCACTGAAGTGAGCCCTGATGGTTCCACAGACGCATGTGGCAGCTGGAAGAAGAATGGGGGTCCGCAGAGGTCTGAGGCGCCACGTGAGTCTGTGTACAGCCAGGAGTTCACCGGGAAGAGAAAGGGAGGGAGGGGCAGCGGCAGGCAGGCAGATGTCTTTTCTTTTCCTTAGCAATGTGGTTAAATTGAATTGATTTATAGTCCTCCTTTTCTCAAATCTAAGATTTGAGATAACTTAGAAGGAAGCTAATAAATTATTAGGTCCAAAGAATGGAGGGGTGAAGGTGCTGATCGTGGGGGTTCACACCTGCTGTGATTGTGTAGTGGTCGGCTTTGAGCGTCCCGGCAGCCAGGACAAAAAGAAACAAGCTATGGCTCAGCTGTAAGCGTCTTCTGGGGACAACACTGTCCCAGATCTCAGTTTTAAAGGAAATCAATCCCTCAGGAATCCTGAAGGAGTTCACAGGGTGAGGAATTAAAATGTGCTTGTAACTGGGAAAGACAAAGTGGTGAAATCGGAAGAGGGAGGAGAGGAGAGAGAGGGGTACCGACATAAAGGTTCTGAGCCCAGGCTGCCTGGGCCAGGGGAGCCACCCTGAGTTCTAAGCATCAGAAGTGTTTCACGAGCAAGGAAAGCTCCTGTGATGACATTGCACGACCTCGGAGAGGGCAAGGAGAGGGCATCTGGTGTCAAACACCAGTCTGGCTCCTGCTCACCCACACTCATGCCACCTCCAGGCCAGCCCACCTGCCAAGCAAGGCACTGACACTCAGAGCGTCTGTCCCCTCCCCTCTCTTTACAGGCCTAGCCGTTCTTCCCTTTTCTGAAATGGCAGTTTCACCTATGAGGGGCTTGCTTCGACATCTGTCATTTCCCTCGTCCCTTTTCTGCTCCAGCTCTACGTGGGTCCATCTACTAAACGGCCACTGAAGGATCCAGAAAGTGTGGCGGCTGCAACTGTTTTGATGTTACATTTGGAATAAGAATTTCAAAGCTGGAAGTGGTACAGTAACTATTTGGGGGAGACTGTAAGATCTTTCTTTTTCTTTTTTTACACTAGTAATACTAACCAACCAAAAATGATATACAATGTATATATTGTCATACATTGTTTATAACCTTAAGATGTAACTCTTTCTGAAAGTTAAAGGCAACATGAGATACAAAGCATTATAATCTTATTAGGGAACTTAGAACCCTGCAGATGCCTTTCTAAAAAGACTCCTCCCACCCCCTGTGGTTTGGACGTTAATGAGGTTGCAGCATTAATGAGGAACCCCTAATCTGCTTTCTGTTTGAGATCTGGGACCCGACTCTGCTCCTTGGATGCCCAGGGTGCCCCAGGGGCTCCCTCCACCACTGCAGCTCCATCCCTCTTCGTTTAAATACTGGGTTTTGCATAAGGTGTCATGTGCTGGGAAGGGGTTAGGCAGGTGGCAGCAGGAAGAGCTGGAGATGAGCCTGAGATGTGGCCTGTCTGTGGAATATATTTCAATTGCTCCCTTTACAATGGTAGATATTTGACAGATGCATCAGTTTTCTTTGGGGTGACCAGCAAAACACACCCATGAGAAGTTGGCTGGAGTCTGGGATACAGACTACGGCTCTCACTCACTTGGGATGGGAAGCCCAGCAACACACCATAGTGAGAAGGCCCCTGGAGACAATGTGGGGGTAAAAGAACACACACACATGAAGGCAGCAGAAATGCCAGGGCAGAAGCTCCCCTACCCCCAACATCCAGTTACCAGATTCACATGCCTTCTGAAAACCAATGACCTCTACACTGCACTCAGATCCTGCCCCTCCACAGCCCCAGACCTGGCTCTCTACTGCCCACCTGGCATCTCTGCCTACATGTAACATAGACAGGCCAGAACAAAAGCCTGGATTTCTCTTCCAAAATCTGTTCTCCCCAGACTCTCTCCATTCAATAAGTGGCACCAGCAATCAATCCCCCTGCTGCTCAAGCCAAGAAGACTCTGGAAGGCACACTCTTTGATCCCTTTTCATTCTGTCAGCTCTTCTGAATGGTGGTTCTCAGACCTGGCTGAACCTGAGGGACTCCTGGGAGCTTTAAAGCATCCCAGTACCCAGGGCCCCGCCCCAGACCAATTAGAGTAGACGCTCTGGGGGCAGGGCTCAGGCATCAGTACTTTCTAAAAGCTCTCCAAGGGAGTCTAATGTACAGTCAGGCTTGAGGATATACTCAAGTGGCTTAAAATATACTCCAAGTCCAACAGCTTCTCTCCAGCTTCACCACTCCCTCCTTGGTCTGAGCCACACGTCTTGCATGAACCACTACAACACCTCTCCCTGCATTTACTTGTCCCCGCCCAAACCCCCATCCCAAGCACAAAGCCCGGTCACATCATGCCTTTCTGATGGCTTCCCTCTGCATTTCGAATGCAGACCAGAGTTCTCAGGAGGCCCACAAGGCCCTGCAGGATCTGGCCTCTGCAGCCCCTTCCCACCTCATCTAGCCCCCCTTGCTCCCACTCACCGTGCCTCAGTCACCCGGTCTCCGTTCCGTTTCTCAGATATGTTCCTACCGCTGGGCTTTCGCACCCCCTCTCCTCTTCCCGAAAGGCTCTGCCCTAAGATCTTCATTTGCCTGACTTGCAACTTCATGTCACTCGGGTCTCAGCTCAAATGCCACTGCCTCAGGGAAGCATTCAGCCCACCCTGGTCTAAAGCAGTCCCTCTTCAGCTCACGAACGCCACCACCACATCACCCCGTTCCATGGTCTTTGCAGCACTCATCAACGTCTGAAAGTGCCTCGTTCAATCATGTTGTTACTGCTTGACCCCTGTGGGGAGGTGAGCTGCAGGAAGGCAGGGATTTTGGTCTTTCTTGTTCACAGCTGGATCCATTGCTCAGAATGCAACCTCTCACACAGCTAGCCTCTCACTCAATAAACACGCACTCATTTTATTCCCTCCTCAGTGCCCCCAGGGCTCCCCCCCCACTGCTGCCAGACTGATCCTTATAAAGTGACAATTTGATCTTGTCATGCTTTTGTTTAACATCCTCAGGAGCTCGATTCTGCCCCTCAGCACCGAACACCTGCCCTATTTCTTAGGCATCCTACCCACACCGCCACCCCAGACCCACTCTCCTCCCAAGCCCTACCGTTCCAAACAGCACTGGTCGCCTGGAGCCGCGCTCCTGCATTCTTGTGTCCTTGTGCATGTTACCCCCTGCCTGGTTCGCTGTCAGTGTCTTCCTGCCTACTGCCCTCTACCTCCCCAGCTCACAAACACTGCTCTGCTGAGAACTGGCTTGGGCATCACCTCCTCCAAGCAGTCACCCCTGCCTAAATTGGTTAACGTCCCCTCCCTTGTTCTACCGCAAGAACCTGTGCTTCTCTAGATAGAGGGCACCTTGAGGCAGGAACGGTGCCTAGGGCTTAACAGAAACTAAATTATAAGGTGAGCTAAATGATATCTACTACTCCTATATCCCCAACAACAAGGGCATCAAAAAAATTTCTGAATAAACCCTTAACTTGTTCTCGCACAAACTTGTTCAGTATGACCAAGGTGCTGCTGCAGGGAAAACTCTTTCATACCGTTGTGCTTTGGGACACTAACCATGGACTTCATTTCCTTGAGGTGATGGCACTCACACTGGGCCACCAGGCCTGCCTGTCGGTGTGCCATCTCCCCGGGCATGTGCATGAGAAGAGGCGCTATCTGGACCAGGTGCTGACCCGTAACTGAGCCGGGAAAGCCGCTTTCCCTCGGGACAGATTCACAATCCACCACCCGACCCAGCAAGAACGGGAGCCCTTAGAGACGGGAACCAGGGCCGGGCCCAGCGTCTTTCCTGAGCTTTCTCTGTGTGACCGCTGCCCCCGCCACCAGGAGTGCTTTCCCTGTCTTAATTTAACACAGCTGTCCCCAGTACGGAACCACTCAAGCCATGGGAGGTCTTTACCAAACAACGCACTCTCTTGCTTTTCCCACACACGATAATGAACAGAACAGAGGATTTAATAGCAGGGTACTTAACATTCGATAGCCACTTGCATAGCTTGGTGCACTTAGCTGTCATCGGGTAGAACACCACTGCTTTACCCACTGATATTCACCAGGAGGCACATGCTGTGGCCTGAAACAGGCTTGTCCAGCTTTTCAGGAAAAGATGAGCCTCGCCCAAAGTGAAGGCCATTCCCGTGCAGGCTCCTGAAATTGGATATGGCTTTAATTTCAACCCCACTTCGCTCCAGGCCTGTCTGTGCTGCGAAGCCCTGCATGCTTGCAGCGCCTCACCTGGCCCCAGGTTTCAAGGTCCTGTGACTGCACTTTCTAACGAGAGGCTGGCTTGCCCTGGCACAAACCCTCCCCAGCAGGCTCCACCAATGGACACACCAGTGCACGGGCAGTATCATTCCTCCCAGACAGACGGGCTGTGGCTCAGACGGTGTCTCTTCAGCGGGGCCCGAGTCCACGTTTCCACCCCAGCCCTGGCCCTCCTGTTCTCCACATTCCTGAGGTCAGGGGCAACATGCAGGCTGTGGCCATGCCAGGGCCAGAGGAGGAGAGTGTGGGCTGGTCAAAACAAGCCCAGACATACTCACGGGGTCTGTCAGCATGGCCCGGCAGTGGGAAGCCAGGGCCAAGAAAGCCAGCAGGTTGAACAGAATTCCATTGATGACGCTGTACACGTAGTCTCGAGATGGAATCAGCATGACAAAGAGGACCACAAACTCCGCATAGAGGACCAGAAACCAGGTGACAATGGCACAGGCGATGCCACAGCCGTCGCGGATAAACCACATGGTTCCCACAGGACCAGGATAGGGAGGTGGGATGCACTTTTCCGGCTGGAGGTATTCTGGCTTCCGCTCAATGTCTCGGAAGTGGTGGGTGGGGATAAGCATCATAAACTAGTCTGTCCATACTGGCATCTGGAAGAGAGAAGACCCAGAAATGTGGTGTTGTCTTGCCATCAAGCAGATTTAACAAAATGACCTTTCTAAAGCGAGCCAGGAGTATCTATGTGTGAACCTCCTGCAGAAAAGCTGCCTCAACCTTCTGTTCATTTAAAATGTCAGTTCTCCCCCTACTCCTGAGCATTAACTTAGCCTTTGTGAGATAGGGCCACCTTGCCCAAAGCATCCAAGAGTCAGATAACAAAAGGGAGGCTTCAAAGGGCAAATGCCTGCCCAAGGTCAGCCAGAGCAGAGGCAGCACACACACACCAACCCAGAGGTGGACTAGAACCAGGTCTGGTTTACTAGGGATCTATTAGACAGACAGTGTCTCACTAGATATGTTTAAATGAGACCTAAAAGACAAAGGGGGGGGGGTGGGCAGGAGCACCAAGCCCTCTGGGAAAACGGTCTTCAGCAGTAGCTGCTGCCTCTACACATGGACAAACCCAGAGACGGAGGCTGAGGCTGTCTGAGGTTAGTTAACAGGGACAAGTGGGAGGAGAGCAGTGGTCACCCAGGGCCAACGTGAAGCTGCAGCCATTTGGACATTCTAACTCCTGGCACTGCATTAACCAGTGACAAAGGCAAAACAGTCACTAGGATGGGAACATTCTTGAAACAAGCCAGGCTTCTTAGCCCTATGGCCCAAATGGTTGCTCTTCCAGGGACAAGAGACTGAGTTCTTCTTGTGGGTGATGGGACAAAGTGTAGGAACGTTGGACAATGAGTCCAAAGATGTTTCCCTACCACCTGGTTTTTGTCTCCTCACCTGTGAAAACAACTCATTCCAGCCCCTGCCACCTCCTCACAGGGTTGGTGTGAGGGCTGGGGAGTTGGGGGTGCTTGTGACCAACGCTGTAGACGGGAGCACCCTGAACTGGGCACAGACTGCGTGCACGTGTTCTCTCTAGGAGAGACACCCCTTCCTGCAGAAACAAGCAATGAGCAACATGCTTTTTCTTCTGAACAGCTGCAGCTTGGGTCTCTGGAGACCGCAATGAAATAACTAAGAATCAATCACTACAGCCCATCTGTTCACAGTGTGCTTTGGGAGACACAGCACGTACAGATTTCCCGCCTCTATTTCTTTGTCTTAAACTCCATGGCCTGTTGTGTCTCACTAGCCAGGTTTCTCAGTTAGAAACTATTATGGCTCAGTTCACCTCCAGATAGATTTAGGTGCCATGAAAAGCCACCTGTATGTAGTCTACAGAACAGTAAGTGACATCTGTCTTTTGAAAACTCAAATCAACCCTGGCCGGTTTGGCTCAGCAGTTAGAGGATCGGCCCATGGGCCAGAGAGTCCCAGGTTTGGTTCCTGCTAAGGGCATGTACCTTGGTTGCAGTTTGTCCTTGGCCCCGGTTGGGGTCGTGTGGGTGGCAATCAGTCGATGTGTCTCTCTCACATCCATGTTTCTCTCTCTTCCTTCCTCTCTCCCTCCTACCCTGTCAAAAAAAAAAAAAGAAAACTCAAATCACAGGGGGGGATATAAATGGTGATGGACAGAGACTTGACTTGGGGGATGAACATACTACAGTGTACAGATGATGTGTTGTGGAATTATGCACCTGAAACCTGTATACTTTTGTCAACCAGTGTCCCCAATACATTCAATAAAAAGGAAGAGGAGAGCCTCAAGCCACTGCACAGCCGCTCAGAAGCAGCGCTGGCAAAGTGCTTTTCTGCCGGCAAGGGCAAGCTTTCAGGGGCTGTTAGGTCGCCTTTACCCTTCTGCCCAGTTCCCTTCTCCTCCACGCCCTCGATAGAGGCCTTAGGACTGAATACAGTACGGTCATGAAAAGGGGGATGTGTCCAGAGAGCTGAGAGGGCAGAGCAGTAACTACTACTCAAAATGACAGACATTCTGGAGTCAAAAGTTGCACATACTACTAATAAAAGAATAAGGTCAGGGCCTCTTCTCATGGAGGCAGAGAATCAATGGTTCAAAGGCAGTTAAATATATACCTGTCCAAAGAAACATTGACTCAACAAATACTCAGAGTGACTGTCACGGGCTGGGTACACTGTTGGCAGCTGGGGAACAAGAAGTCATGGCACATCCCAAGCAGAGTAAAAGCGGTGGTTCCCGATGCCCATCCACTAGAATTTTCTAATAAAGCAACCCTGTGCTCTCCACAAGACAGTGACAATTAGTTGCCAATGGCAACCCAGAGACACGAAAAGGTGCAGGGACACCTTCTGAAGCACCAAACAGGACAACAGGAGATCATAGACCAGGGAGGTCTGGACCTTGGACACGTGCCCAGCAAATTCTAAAATTCTAAACTTGGTGCAAACCAAACCAAACAAACAAAAGGTGAAATTCCATGAAATCCCACAACGATTCAAAAGCTGACTGAAGCTCAACATTTCGACAACCTCCAGATGCAACCATTCTTTTGGTTTTTCCTGCTGCCGTATGGATCTGTATGTATGTCACCCATGTTCTCACAATTACCGTTTAAGTTCCAAGTCAGCAAGGTTTTACTGGACCACAGCTATACCATTCGGTTACATATCGTCTGACTGCTTCTGCATTACAATGGCAGAGCTGAGTAGTACTGATAGAGACCAACCAGCCTAAAGGGTATACTCTCTGGCACTTCACAGAAGTTTGCCAACCCCTGGGAGAGGCAGCTGTTACCCACCAAATACTGGGTGGGCAAAAGTAGGCATACAACAGTTTGTATGAAAAATACAATAATTAATAAAAAAATAATACAAGTCGCCCTGGCCGGTTTGCTAAGTGGTTAGAGCATTGGCCCACGGACTAGAAAGTCCTGGGTTCGGTTCCCGCTAAGGGCACATGCCTCGGTTGCAGTTTGTCCCCGGCCCCGGTTGGGGTCATGTGGGTGGTAGCCACTCGATGTGTCTCTCTCGCGTTGATGTTTCTCTCTCTCTTCCTCCCTCTCTCCCTCCCACTTTGTCTGATAAATGCAAAAATGTCCTTGGGTGAGGATAAAAAAAAATAATAATAATATTACAAGAATAAACTCTGTGTTTTAGGTACTCAAAACCAAACCTACTTTTACTCCACACTGCAAGTAACTGAGATCCAACCCAACTCCTGCTCCCTGCAGGAGAGCTCGATGTAACAGAGATGATCAGTTACAGCTCACTTCACCCTACCCACACCTGTGGCAGCATAACCTCCGCTCATCTGCAGCCTGAGGGCCATCTCCCCATGACCTGTGTGCTCCATCAAACTGCTCTTCAATGATCATAAATGGTGTGGTTTTCAGAAATGGAGGATCGCCGAAAATAAATCTTAGAGCAATGCTCATGTTTGGATACTTCCAGTGATTAAATTATGTTCACTGTGTATTTAGAGCAGATGACTGAACTCGCTCCTCTGACAGCTGCTCACTCTTGATTGTAGATGAGACAATGGTTCAACCTAAACTAGAGTTATATTTCACATGTGTGGTTTTGCTGAGAGACAGGCCCGTCCACAGGAGTGAACCTCCCAGGTAACTGGCTACTTCCTGTCTTTAGTACAATACCCATCCATTTCTTTGGAAGGATTTAGAGTCATTACCAGAAACATCAATTACTGGAGTATGTTAGGTAACTATGTCCTCAGGGGATACGGGGACTCACTGGGCTTGCCACCTCACACCAAGTGGCCTTTTCAGACTATTATAATTGTGGCTTCTCCTTCATAAGGTTCTTAGTCTTCCTCCTCTATTCCTGGCTACTGTCACTTCTGTGCCCACAGTTACCAACCCTCCCAACATACCCTTTATTTACTGCTGCTAGTTGCTGTGGGCTGGAAAAGCATATAAAACAAGATCTTGTTAGATTTATTTGCAAAGGAAGGGGACTCGTTTTAGGCAGTGGGCCTTCAGGGAATACCTGCTCTGCTCTCCCGCTGCTCAAGTTGCTGTCTTCATCAGCCCAGTACCTGACACTTAGTAGCCACTTACTCCATGTGTTCATTACACTCATATGAGCAAAACGCATGAGCTCTGTGATCCCAGGCTCACCTCGTGGAGGCCTTGTCTGCTTACTTCCCAGGGCTGTGGCCGTATTCTGGATGGTGGAGATGCACCAAGTAGGACCATGAAGGAGGTGGACTGTGACTCTCACTCAGGTAACCAGGATGTTCCACCCCTGAACAATGTGGGACCAAAGAGTGTACGGAGGAGCTCTGTTTTCTCGTTATCCTGCACTGGTGATGAGAACCTGAGATCCGGGAAAGCACCCAGCCAAGGGCACACCTGGCAAAGCCAGACCTAAGCGTTGAATCAGAGGACAGATTCCAACCCACACTTTACAGTTTCAAAATACCCAGTCAAAACAAGTCAAGGCATACTGCACTAAAACGTTCCCTCAAGTCTCCCCAAAGGCAATGGAAGCAGCTCTCTAATAAGGATTTATTTCTCAAATTAGCCAAATGAAAGTCTGAGAAATATGGGGGAAACACCTACCTTGAAACAAACTGTACACATACCCGCACTCGGCCCCTAACAACAGAAAAGGCAAATATTCACCTCTTTTTGAAACTTTTCTGTTTTGAATTAGGAAAACTCTAATCCTTGGGGTTGAGGAGTGGTTCTTTGCCAGTGACCCATTCCCCACACAGAGTCCTTGCTGAGAACTAGTTGTTCAGGCCTCTGGGGCAGGCACACAAGGAGGCTGGCATGGCCCAGAGCCCTCAATACCACTCCTGCCAGCCACTCATACCCTCAGAGGGCAGCCTCCTCCAGCTCCCCACTCCCAGCCGCCTTCACCCCATTCCCTTGCCCTGTGTGCTCTCTAATGTATCTTTACTCCAAGTCAATTCGACTCAAAAAGACATTCATGAAACAGCCACTGAATGCAAGGAACTGTGCAGGGGGCTCACGCAAGGGATGATGAGGACAATAATGTGTGTGTGCTGCCCTGCTCAGGCCCTGCCAGTCCTCTCTCCCGCTCCCAATCTGGTAAGACCAGTCTTACTTGCTTTTTCCCTACTAACCTGCAAGTCCCA